ATTCTTCACCGCACTCAATATCAGACCGTCATCTCCAAGCTTGGCCTCCTGAACATCCATCATCCAGCTTGAGGGGGGATGTTAGAATAGGTTGAGGGTAACCGTTTGTGGTTACCCCTGTGTGTGTTCTCATATTCCTATTTAAGATAGGTTTCCCCCTTTTGTATATAAATGTTTTTCTTTACACAAATAATACAAAATTTTCTCTTGCTTTCATACATGTTATCTCTTCTCTGTTGGCTTAAGCTCTGTTTTAGCGCTTCCTCTCTCTACAGTTCTTCAGATCCACCTTCTTCCTCTCTTCTCTACTGCCATGGAGCTCCTTCTTCCTTTCTAGGGTTCGTATCCCATAGTTACCATACTTATTATAGAGTAAATCCAACCTCTTACTATTTCAAGGAAAGAAAACTAAAAAAAAAAACTAAAATAGATGTAAAAATCAGGTTAATTGTTTTGTTTAAAACTTGTTTATTTTTTCCTTTTAACAAAATCTACAATAATATTTTCTTACATTTTTTTATTTTCTTTATGATCCTTAAATTTGAAGAAAAAATTATACTAATATACAAATTACGAAATATATTACTATTATTTATATATTTATATATTTAAATATCATATCATAATAAAATTAATAACTCTAGTGTAAAAAGGGCTTTTATGTCACCCTCGCATCCAAAAATATCTGACATAAATAAAATGTGGTGGCAATTTTGTAAATATGAGGGGAGACTTTTATGTTGAATCTTGAAGGAGGTGACGTAAAAAATGCCTTTTACATCGCATCTTGGAGTGTGTGACGTAAAAACTTGTCCAATTTTTACTTCGCACGCTATAGTATGCAACTTAAAAGACCTCTTTTATGTCTCACCTCTTCTGATGGGATGTAAAAAGAGGTCTTTTACGTCACTTACTGTAGTGTGCGACGTAAAAACTGGATTTTATTTTGTTCCAGAGTAACTCCCTCGTCTCGCATAACAAAAGTTTTTTTATAACGGCGACAACTACCATTTCCACACCATTTTCGATCATTTTGACTGTGAAAAACATCAACATTGTGTTTCATTTTTCGAATTTGATGTTTCTCCCCAATTGGATTCAAGTTTTAAATTATTTTCATGTATACTCGAGATTAGTGTTCTATGTCTCCTGTTATATGTTCAAATTGAATCCATGATTATTTTTGGGAATCTCAATCACATTATTACATGAATGTCTCCACTGAATTGTTATTGGAATATCATTATTTATTTATTTGTTTGAGTGTATTTTCGAGAAGTTGAGGAATTTTTGAAATTTGCTAGTGAAAATAGAAAAACTATGAAAGGGACATATTATTGTCCATGCTTTCGTTGTTTGAATCAAATTCGTCATAAACTTGAGCATATACATGATCATTTGTTTGTTTATGGTATTATTAAGAGTTATACAATATGGACATGACATGGAGAAATATTAGACATCCAAACTATGTCAACTACAGACAATTTTGACGAAGGGATGAATGATAATCTAAAGGATATGATACGTGACATTGATGAAGAAAATTTTATGAAAACACATTTATATGATTATTTGAAATCTGATGTTGAGCAACAATTGTATATAGGATATAGTTTTACAAGATTATCAGCAAATTTAAGATTGTTTAGTTTAAAAGCAAGAAATGGATGGACTGATAAAAGTTTCACCAAATTATTGGAGTTGTTTATTGCATCGAAAACTGAGTCAAGAAATGAAAAGTTTATTACAAGGGTAACTTTATCTTTTATTCATTAATTATGTTTTTAAAGTGTAAATACATATTGAATAATATATAAATTTTTTTTCAATTAGAATCGTGTCTGGAACTAATGTTCTAAGTGGAAGACCAAGAATAAAGAGTTTGCAGTTCATTTATCCTAAGGTTAGAAACTTATTTATATAAGTGAATACTATAATTATTGTTTGTATTTAAATTTTGAAATTAATATTATGTTTTATTCATTATTTCTGTGTAATAAGCAAACAAACTCATTTGAATGTGGTTATTATGTCATGTATTGGATGAGAGTCATAGTTTGTGGGGTATAACTGATTCTCTGATGGATGTAATTGTTTTCAACATTAGTTAAGTTTATTTAACTTTATGTGTGTTGCATGTTTACAAGAGTCAAATTAATGTTTCATGTATTTCAAGATCCATCTTCATTGCTAGAATATGATATCACACAAATTAGAGAACAATAGGCAAGATTTTTCGTTCAACAATTCTAGTACTTAGTTTGTAGGTTATTGTTGGTATTATATTGTGTATATTATGTACTTTAGGTAGCTTAGTTTGTATTAACTTTTAGTTTGTAATAACTTTTAGTTTGTAATAGATTTTAGTTTGTAGGTTATTGTTTATATTATATTATTTTATTATATAGTTTAGGTGATTTTTGTACTATCATGGTGTATTAATTTAACTTTTGTAGTTTGAATTATATATAATATTGTATTTTTTATTTACTAGCTAAAGAAACTTGAACCCCTGAACTTGTTTGGTTATAATATATGTTTGCAGGTTTTAGATGTAAGACAAAATAAACCCAATATTAAAAAAAAGAGTAAAATTTGTCCAATTTTTTAACTTTTCGAAGCATTTTACGTCTGTTTAGTGGTATATGCAACGTAAATTAACGTCGGTGTCGATAATCGACGTAAATTTATGTCGTGCAAAGGGACCATCATAAATTTACATCTCCCATTTTAACGTCAGTCTTATATGTAATGTAAAAATCCAAAATACATGACGTAAAAGACTCATTCCGCACTAGTGTAAGAATTGTTTTAATTTAAAAATTTGTGATAATATTATTATAATTAGTTTCTCTTAATTAGATATGAAGAGATAAAAGTGATATAATATTTTTTATCTTCATATATTGCATCCATTTGTATCATTAATATATAAAATATATATTTACCCGAATCTTCAATCATTATAATAAAATGTTAGGTATTTTGAAAGTAATTCAAATATGAGTCTAAGTCCACGTAAGAATACAAAATTTGAGCAATAAATAAGAAAAAAAGTAAAGATCCACAAATAATATTAGGACAAAAAATTGATCGACACTTTAAAAGTAGTATTTGTATCAATAGTCTGATTGACAATTATTTACTTTTTTTTTAGGTAATAGTTTGTGTTTAATTTAAACTCATTAAGAATAAACTTCATCTAATTATTTGATAGGCTAAATCTAACCTTAGTGGGTTAATATTAAATTTAAAAGTATAACTCAAATTATTCATAAACTTAAATTAATAGTGAGTTTAATCTATTATTTTAAACTAACATTTTTTGGAAATGTTGAGTTATACTCATAATTTAATAAAAAAATATTCTAATAAAATTTAGAGGGCTAGTAATAATAATAATTTAATTTTTTATTCATGGTTAAGTTAGTATTGACAATTGAAAAAATAAAAATAAAAAATATGTTATAAAAAATAAGAATAATAAAATGAGTTAGGTATGACAGACCGATCCGTTAGTCGGTCTAAAATGTGATGGGCGGGGTTAGTGGTTTAGCCCATCAACCTATCTCACTTAGCTCACAAATTTAGTGAGTCAAGGTTGGGATAGGACGAACTAGTCAATTGACTCACTTAAAATTAATATTTATATATTAAAATAAAAATAATTATAGTTAAAAAATTATATATTTTATGTTATATTATTAAGATATCTAAATATATTATAATATTATAATTTAAATTATAAAAATTAATTAATTAAATTTAAATTATTAATTATAATTAGTTATTTGATATTTAAATATAATAATTTTTTCAATTTATGTAATAAAAATATTAATTAATAAATAAAAAATTTATATAATTAAATATATATTTAATATATATATATATATATATATATATATATATATATATATATATGATTTTATAAAAAAAAGTATTGATTACCCATCATTTGAGGAGACAGACTAAACTCTGTAATTCATCTTATTATGGTGGTCCAGTTCACCCATCTCATTTTTTTTGCTGGTCAAAAATAAAACGTATTTTACCATCTCAATAAAAAAAATTAGAAAAATTCAAAATAGCCATCATTTTTAGCACTGTTATTATTAATTAAATTAGTTTTCCTCATTTATTATTTATTAAAAGTTCTAATATTTCTTATTATTATTATTATTATCAAAATTTAATATATCATGCGGAGGAAAATAAAAATAATACTACACTGAATTAAAAAAATAACTATATTGAAGAGATAAAGACGATAAGTTAGTAAATTGTAAAAAGAATGACATTTTCTTTTGAAAGGATAATTACAAACGTTAAGTAGAAAGTTTTTCCTCATAAATAGTTACCTAACAATCATAGAACTTAGAAGTGTGGTTAAAAGTTAGGAATAATTTTTTTGCTCATTAATGTAAATAGAGAAGTATAAATTTTAGGAGGAATACTTTTCTAGAGAGGTCCCGCAAGTCCTACCACAAGTCCTTTTAGATTATAAACAAATATTTAACAAAAGTACCTAACTATAATACTGTCATTTTTTTATAATTCTAAAATATTAAATATGTTGTCTAAATATTGTAATTTATTTTCCAATAAGCAAATTCTTAATAAAAGAGGAAACTTTAATTTTAATTGGAAAATAATATTTCTTATTTTCATGTAATTAAATTTAACACGTGTTATGATTTTCATTTATGTGTCTCTGTGCATTTGTTTACTTTTTCGACTTTTTCTCTTTTCTGTTTTCTATTTGTCACTCTCTGACTATCGACAGCAACATTCATACTCGGGTCAAAGGCTGCCTTGGCTTGCGTCTTTGTTAAGACTTTGAAGCATTTTCACAAACCCGAGAACCTACTTCTTTTGTCTCGTATGAATAAGACATTCATTTTGAGTTCAGCTTTTCATTCTTTGTTCCTTTTGTGTTAAAAAACACAGCACACGGGTGTGTAGTAGAATTTCAGTGAAATTGGCAAAACTAAAACATGGAGCGCTATGAGATTCTTAAAGATATTGGCTCTGGGAATTTTGCTGTGGCCAAACTGGTTAGGGACAACTGCACCAATGAGCTTTTTGCTGTCAAGTTTATTGAGAGAGGCCTGAAGGTCTGCTTCATCTTCTTCACCCTTTCAATTTCAGTTTTATGACTTAACTTTTTTTCTCTTCTCTTTTCTGGCAAATTATTCATCTGGATATGTAATCTTTGTGCGCATGATTTTGTCTGTGGTTCATTCACTGTGGGACATTGAAAATATCTACTGAAGATTGACGAGCATGTCCAGAGGGAAATCATGAACCATAGATCATTGAAGCATCCCAATATTATTAGATTCAAAGAGGTTAGTAAAAGAATACTCATACTCCTAATAATGAGAATAGAGTATGTTCTATTTTTGGTCGTCTATTTAGCTAAATGATAAAATTCTACAAATATAAAATTCGTTTTTGGTCTTCAAGACTCCTATTATTTGGAATTCCTTTCTATTTTGTTAATCCGTGCTTATATTCTCATCTACTATTTACATGTAATTTTGTAGCCTTCTTGGTTTGATTCACTGTTTTATTTTTTATAGTTAAATATTTTTTCCAATTTTTTTATTAGTAATATATGAGTATTTGAATATTACTCTAAAGAAAAGATGAGAATGTGAAATGTGAGATGTAAAGATGGTGTGTGGTGGTGGAAAGTAGTTACCACTGTCATGAAAGATGGGAAGTTAGCTTTGAAAACACTCATTATGAATTTGAATATTGATCTACTTTTATATTTTGGTCTCCTATTTTGTTTTTCCACCATGCACTGAAGTGGCTTGGGAATCGGAATTGAATTTAGCATAATACAAAGGTCCACGCATCAAACTTATTCGAATGCATTTATCCACATATTTTCTTAACTTTTCCTTTTCTTCCCATGATGTTTTTAGTTTAGACCGTGATTAGAAAAATCCATTCATGAAATTCCTTCCTATTTTACATTTTTCTGTAATTTTTTATTTTCTTCTTTCCCTGTGCTTTGTGGATGGTAGTGTGTTTTGTGCTATCCTTTGAATAAATTTTAATGTTATGAACCATGTACCAGTTATTTTACAATCTAAACATACTTCCATTAGAATGATATTTTAATCAGATTCAAAAAAAGGAAAAAGATCCTTCAGTTCCAATCTGAACATACTACTTGTAGGTCCAGCTGACACCAACACATCTAGCAATAGTAATGGAGTATGCTTCTGGAGGAGAACTATTTGAGAGGATATGCACTGCTGGTAGATTCAGTGAGGATGAGGTAATATAGAAAGTGAGGTACTATTTGATTAGTTTATGTAGTTCAGTATGATATTGTCTAGAGTTGATCTTGTTGTGGAGATTCCATTTGATAAGTCCAAAAGTTGAACTTAGTCCATATTTTTTATTAATATGGTCCTGTTATGGTACTATATCCATTATTTCATTCTGAAACTTAGGTTCTCAAGTCTTGTTACTTTTCACCAGGCGAGGTTTTTCTTTCAGCAATTGATATCTGGAGTCAGTTACTGTCATTCAATGGTATGAAACTAAACCAAACATGTGTCATGAACCATGTTTCTTCACAAAGAATGGATATTTATAGTTAAAAGAACTGTGTATGCAGCAAATTTGTCATAGAGATCTGAAGCTTGAAAATACACTGTTAGATGGAAGCACTGCACCGCGAGTTAAAATTTGTGACTTTGGTTACTCAAAGGTAGCATAGTTAACAAGAATTACAACTCTGGCCGTGCAATTTTCTTCATGTGATGTTAATTTATTCTTATATTGTCTTTTAGTCATCAGTATTGCATTCACAACCTAAGTCTACGGTAGGAACTCCAGCTTATATTGCACCTGAGGTTCTTACAAGGAAGGAGTATGATGGAAAGGTAAGGTCTTATTCTTCCTCATAGATTATCCTTGGTCTTCATTGATACAACTTAGATACATGTGGTACTTTTTGTATTATGTTTGTTGCTTTATTTTCTACTTAAATATTTTCATTGAAAGCTATAGATTGCAGATGTATGGTCTTGTGGAGTCACCTTATATGTGATGTTAGTTGGGGCTTATCCTTTTGAAGACCCTGCAGACCCAAGAAACTTCAAAAAAACCATTGGTGTGAGTGATAACTGATAACTGCAAACTTATTGAATCCTAGTGTAAAGATAGGAGTTAGTTGTTTAGTTTCACTTTCTCATGATATGGTGTTTCAATTGGACCCTTTGTGGCTTATTACAGAAGATACTTAGTGTCCAGTACTCGGTCCCCGATTATGTACGAGTTTCCATGGAATGTAGACATCTTCTATCACAAATATTTGTGGCAAGTCCTGAAAAGGTAACCGATTTAATTGCTTAAATTCAGAAGCAAAATGTTTATACAGATGATCCTTATGTCTATTCTCAACTAACTTAAATGTTAAGTTTTTCTTATCCAAATGCATGTTTTGGCTTCTTCAAGTATTTGTAGTTTATGTTTTGGGCGCAATTCTGGCAATGCATTTTCCTCTATCTTGGGCATTTTTCGTACAATCTTCTAAATGCATGTAGATTCCTTTTCCCGTTGTATTGATCCATTTAAGGCATTTTGCAGAGAGTAACAATACCAGAAATTAAAAATCATCCATGGTTTTTAAGGAACTTACCCATAGAACTGATGGAAAGTGGAAGCTGGCAAATAAATAACCCATCACAAAGTGTTGACGAAGTCCTGTCTATAGTACAAGAGGCAAGAAAATCTCTTAAGATTCCCATTGTTGGTGGCCTTCTTACTGGGGGCAGCATGGACCTGGATGACTTGGATGCTGATGAAGAAGATCTTGAAGATGTAGAAACAAGTGGAGAATTTGTGTGTCCTCTTTAAGTGTGTACATGAACAAGCTGACATAAGTTTAATGTGAAAATGTGAATAGAGTTTTCTGTGGGGGCTGAAATTCCTTGATGCTTAGCTTAAGTAGCTCCACTTGTATGGCTTTCTACTTCTTAGTTTTGACAATTTAAGAGGTTTTTCCTTGTTTTCATATGTCCCTCTCCCCCATCCATATACACGCGTGGATGTGATCAGATATAGGAACTTCCAAATCCATGTGCCGTTTTCTAGAGATGTAACATCACATGTTCCAAAATGTTAGAATATTAAATAAAGCACGTTGTGGTAGGTTCCTGTTTTTTATCATGGAAACTGAGATATGGGAAATAAGTAGACTTTTGTTAATGGATTTTATTTTATATTGTAGAGTTGGGAATTGAGCAAAGGATAAGCTTGGAGGCTTTCCCTCAGTTTATATCTGCAACTTCATTTCGTGATCTACTATTCTTATTTTATGGAAAACTTGAATAGAAATGAGCATCGCAAATCATTCTTTAATAATCTTAACAATGAGTTTGCTGGTGCCTCCTTGTGGCTTGTGAACAATTTCTTAATTTAAAAATTGAATTCTAAGGAAATAAGGTACACCAAGATTCCAATTTTGAACATTCTTATTAATTAGATTATTAGTGCTAAATATTTTTCTATTTTGTTGATAAGTAATTTCTGATATATCTTCTTTAAGAGATTTGAAATTTGGTTTGATGAATTTGAAGTCAAGTGGAACCAAAGACATGTTTTAAAGTTCTACAAAACTATCTTCCGCACATTGACTTAAACCCTTATGCTGTACGGAATCAATCAGCGTTGCCGACACTGTTTATTTTTGTATGATATGCTGCCAAACAAACATTTATCCCTTGTTATTTAACAATGTTAACTTGAGCCCAAAAATAGAACTTGATTAAATTTTCTTCCATAACTTTGCTGACTTCATTTCTTCCCATTTCTTAAAAGTTTTTTCCAAGGCACAATAGGCTTGTTTAACACCAGAAACAATGCGCTTATATTCTTGATAGTAACCATAATTAAAGTCTAAAACATTATATATACTATTATTACTAAGATCAGTTAATTTCCCGTATCAATGTTTCCAGAATAATTTTGTAATTGCAGACAACGAAGTTGTACAAATCAACAATCATTCAAATTAGCATCCATCTTTTTACCAATTTATTGACATGAACAATGATAAAGTTGCATATGTAGAGTACCCTTTGAATTTCCATTGTGAATTTCGGGCCTATAGTTCAAGGCGGTATAGAAGGTGCACACTTTCAAGTTTAAACAACTGATATCATCTCAATTCGGCATTCATCTTCTGTATTATGCTCGGTGTCCTTCCACAGAAGCCATATTTCATAGCTCGACATGATTTAAGCACGCAGATTGAAATAATTAACAAAAAACTATATGATGTATTCACCAGTATGCAAAAGAGTTGTGGAGACAGTTACTTACACGAGCCTGCCAAACTTACCAGCAGCATCTATTGCTTCTATTTTTTTGCTTATACTCTCATATGTTTACTTGCAAAAGAAATTCACCAAATTGCTTTAGAAGACACTACACCTGCATAAATAAAAATGGGTATTGAATGAAGAATCGATCACCTGCATAAGTAAAGAAAAAGGTCAACTCAAATCACCACAAAGATGCTCAGTTTCCGACCAATTCAATTTTCAAACATATCAGTGTAGACTTCCTCCAAACTAATTAGTTGATTTAGTTAATTAGGCAGTTATTTCAGTTGATCTCCCAAACACTTAGCATATGTTGCATACACACTATAAAATGATATTCTTCATCATATGATCAAGTGAATCATTCTCCTTCTCTCTCATCTTCCAATGTGAAATAAGAAAGAATGACAGACGAAACCATTATTGCACTTGTGGGAATCAGACCTCTTCTAAATTTCAACTATACCATGTTAGCAAAATTTGGGTCACGTATATATATGATACATATTTAAATGTGTTAGGGTCATTATTTATTAAGCCAAATAATAAAGTGATCTGAATAAATTAAAGTTTTGGCTAAAGGCATATGTCATGAAAATATAATTGTGTAGAGACCATAGAGTAATTTTTAATTTGATGAGGGGCCAAATTGAAAATACTAAAACTTAAGTAATTAACCTAATTTTGGTTATATAAAGGGTCATGGTCCACTTCTGAGAGCACACAGACAGAATACAGATACAGTCCCGTTCTTTTCTTTCTATCCCCATCAAGAGAGAAAATCCATAGGGAAATACAGGTGCTCTTCAGGTGGAAGACCATAAGATCAATTCAAAGGTGCTCTACAAAAAATATTATGGTTAATTCAGGTACGCTTTCGCATTTAGTTTATATAACATGTTTTCAGTATGGGATTATAGATATATGTTTGATCATTAGGATGAAGATCATATTCAATTACAGTTTTATTAACAATTGGTATCAGAGCTACCCATACTTGATTCATGTTTGTATTTGGAAATTAGATTTATCAAAATTTAGATTCTATTTAATTCAGAACCCTAAGTGAAGAATAATCTCCCAATTTTGTAAACCCTAAAATCAAATTTGGGGTTAAATTCCCAATTTTAAAACCTAGTTTCAAATTTGGGATAAATTCCCAATTTCCCATATTGAGAAAGAGGGTTCCAATTATCTGTTCCGCGTGTGAATTATCCGGACACGGCACAACTGTTGGCTTAACACGAAGAATTAGAGAAGGTCGCTCGACGCGCCTCCAGATCATTAAGGAATTAAACTCTGATGAAGGAGAAGAAACATGCTAGGGCAGACAATAAACCCTTCGTTGGGCTCTTCCCTCACAACCATTTATCTTCAGTCACCGGCTACTTTCATCACCACGGTTTGCAACCCACGCTTTATTCACTAATCGAAGACAAACATTTCAGTTTGGAAACGGTTCAAAATGTTTAAAATGGGTGATTCGGGAGCCTTCAGTGTTGGGATTGAACAAATTCCAAAGGCTTCTTGTTCATGCTTCTGATTCCAATTTAAATGTGCGGTTGGTGGGCGAGAATTACAGGAGTTGCGCGTGGATGAACTTGGGGAAGAGAATGGAGGATTTTGAGGAGAGAGAAAATTAATTGTGGGACCCGCTGACTTAATTAAAAAGGGAATATAATGGTGTTAATGTTGTGGGACCCGCAGCCTTAATTAAAAAGCCATCATATGTGGTATTATAGTACAAATTTTTTTTAAGTGGTCCTTGAGACTAAATTTGGTTTAGGATTACCCTTATTAATATATTCAATTTTTTTTGGTAGTTTAATATTTTTTGTGAGCAGATTGAGTCAAGAAGTTACCAAAGTAACATCTCTTGAATTGGGTAGTTCGTGAAAAATATTGAATGTTAGTGTTTGTGTATATTCATGCGAGTATTAGTCGGCCCAAAGGAAGATTAATATTTGGCCGAATTGCACACACACTTGTAATGATAAACATGTGATAATTATAAGGATTTGCTTTGTCGATGATAAATCAATCCAAAGACTGGTTTGTTGTTGGACGTGCTTTATTGTCAATGTTTGATCATTACAACAAGATACCTCTAGCAGCTTAATATTACTCGTCCAAAGACTTAATATTGATAGTGCATTGGGTGTCTTGAGATGTGTTAAACCATTATTTGAATATATATTTTATTTATAATTATTTATTTTTTTATAATGTGAGCATAATTAGTTTATTTCTTTTGTTCTAATCCAATCTACAAATGCTTCTGTATTCGCCAACTTAAATTATGTTCCGATCCTCAAAAGTATGTTTCCTACTTTGGTCCGTTCGAAGTCAATTTAGCGTCAGTACCTAGTAACACTTGGTGGTTAGACTCGAGTGCAACTACTAACATCGTTGTTTCTATAAAGGGTTGCCTAAGCTACCTGAAGCCAATTGATTCTGAAAGATGGATATATGTTGGAGATGGCAAATCGGTAGAGGTGGAAGCCATAGGACATTTTAAATTGTTATTGAGTACTCGGTTTTTATTTGGATTTGAAAGACACTTTTGTTGTGCCGTCATTTAGACGGAATTTGGTTTCAGTTTCTTATCTGGACAAATTAGGTTATTTGTATTCATTTGGAAACAATAAGTTCAGTTTGTCTTTTAATTCGGATATTATTGGAACTGGTTCACTTTTGCCTTATGATAATATGTATTTACTTGATACTCGTGACCACCTATAATGAAACCCTTAATACAGAATCACGGGGTACTAAACGTAAAATTGATGATACTCACTCAGGAGCATTATGGCACAGGTGCTTAGGTCACATCTCTAAAAATAGAATTGAACGACTTGTGTCAACTGGAATCTTAGAGTCCATTGACTTCACAAACCTTGATGTTTGTGTTGAATGCATTAAGGGCAAACAGACCAAAGCGAAGAGATCAGGTGCATATAGAGCTACAGACGTCTTAGAGTTGATACATACGGACATTTGTGGGCCATTTCCTACACCTTCATGGAATGGTCAACAATACTTTATATCATTCATAGACGATTACTCACGATATGCATACTTATTCCTTATACATGAAAAGTCACAATCTCTAGACGTGTTCAAAACATTTAAAGCTGAAGTTGAAAATCAACTCAATAAAAGAATTAAGTCTGTCAGATCTGATCGTGGTGGTGAGTACTATGGCAGATTTGATGGGTCAGGTGAACAGCGTCCAGGACCTTTTGCCAGGTACCTAGAGGAGTGTAGAATTGTCCCACAGTATACCATGCCGGGATCACCTAGCATGAATGGTGTAGCTGAAAGACGAAATCGAACTCTTAAAGATATGGTCAGGAGTATGATTTGTCATTCCACCTTACCGGAGTCACTCTGGGGAGAGGCACTAAAGACGGCAGCTTATATTCTGAACAGAGTACCAACTAAAGCAGCGACCAAAACACCTTATGAACTTTGGACTGGGCAACAACCTAGTCTGAAGCATTTCCATGTGTGGGGATGTCCAGCTGAGGCAAGGCCTTATAAGCCAAATGAAAAGAAATTGGACTCCCGAACAGTAAGTAGTTATTTTATTGGTTATGCTGAAAGATCCAGGGGATATAAATTTTATGATCCCACATTAAAGACAATTTTTGAGACGGGAACTGCTACGTTTTTTGAGGATATTGAGTTTGGGGGGAAGAATAAAATTAGGAACTTTGTCTTGGAGGAAGAATCGGTAACAATTCTAGAACCGATTCAAACAGTTACTTTTGATGAAGTAAGTTCGGAACCTCCACAAGGTATTGTTAATGAACCCCTTACTCAAGATGATTTGGTTGTTCATGAAGAACAAACTCAAGATCCTCAAGAACCTGTGCATCATGAGCCAATAACTTTGCGGAGATCCACTAGAGAAAGAAGAAGTGCTATTTCGGATGATTACATAGTATTTCTTCAGGAACATGAGGAAAACAATAGTATGATGGAAGATGACCCAGTTAACTTCCGTCAAGCCATGCAAGGTTCTAACTCCGAAAAGTGGATTGAAGCAATGAAGGAGGAGTATAAGTCCATGCAAGACAACAAGGTTTGGGAACTTGTCCCATTACCAGAAGGTATAAGACCCATTGGTTGCAAGTGGATATTTAAGACCAAACGGGATTCTAAAGGTAATGTGGAAAGGTATAAGGCTCGTCTGGTAGCTAAGGGCTATACTCAAAAGGAAGGGATTGATTTTAAAGAGACTTTCTCTCCAGTTTCATCGAAAGACTCTTTTAGAACAATCATGGCTCTTGTAGCACATTATGATTTGGAGCTTCATCAAATGGATGTCAAGACGGCGTTTCTTAATGACAACATTGATGAGACGATTTATATGGTGCAACAAGAAAATTTTGTGCAGGGAGATTCAAAGAGTATGGTTTGCAAACTGACAAAATCCATTTATGGACTAAAACAAGCATCTCGTCAATGGTACTATAAATTTCATCAAGTAATTCTCTCATTTGACTTCGAGATGAATATTGTTGATGATTGTGTATATCACAAGTTTAAGGGGAGTAAGTATATTTTCCTGATCTTGTATGTTGATGACATTCTACTTGCCACTAATGATATAGGCATATTGCACGAAACCAAGAAATTTTTATCAAAGAATTTCGAAATGAAAGATCTTGGTGATGCGTCTTTTGTATTAGGAATTCGGATACACCGAGATCGATGTCTGGGTATTTTAGGATTATCACAAAGGAGCTATATCGAAAAAATTCTTAAAAGGTTTGGCATGCATGAATGTAAATCCGGGATACTCCAGCTTGCTAAGGGAGACAAGTTTAGTCTCAATCAGTGCCCAAAAGGAAATTTAGAAATTGAGGAAATGCAAAAGATTCCCTATGCATCACTGTAGGGAGTTTGATGTATGCCCAAGTATGTACGCGTCCGAACATAGCATACATAGTTGGGGTTCTAGGCAGATATTTAAGCAATCCAGGAATGGACCATTGGAAAGCAGCAAAAAGGGTCATGAGATATTTAAAGAGAACAAAAGATTACATGCTCACATACAGGAGGTCAGACCAGTTGGAGATCGCTGGGTTTTCTGACTCGGACTTTGCAGGATGTCAAGATAGTTTGAAATCCACTTCAGGTTACATTTTCATGTTAGCAGGTGGTGCGGTTTCTTGGCGTCAGAATTTGTAGCATGCTATGAGGCGTCGAATCATGGAATATGGCTGAGAAATTTTGTCACAGGGCTGCAAATTGTGAAAGGCATTGAAAGACCACTTAAGTTATATTGTGACAATAAATCAGCTGTATTGTATTCCAACAACAACAGAAGTTCGACTAAGTCGAAACACATCGACATTAAGTTCCTAGTCGTTAAGGAAAGAGTACAAAGTGGACATGATTTCCATAGAACATTTAGGGACAAACTCCATGATAGCAGATCCTCTAACCGAAGGACTTCCGCCCAAGGTCTTTCATGAGCATGTTGCTCACATGGGTGTTTTACGGTTTGAGGAATTTGTGGTTTAGTGGGAGTTAGTCATTTTCATATATTTTATGTTCTATGTTTTATATATGTATACATTGTTTTTTTTTTGGACATATTTGATTATCTATAGATATGCGGTTTTCTTGTTCATTCATTACACTTTGTACATTAAGGTTATTGTATCGATCTCGATAAGTTAAAGTTTGGACCAGTTGAAAATAGACGTGTACAGATCACCTTCACGTAATTTTTCATGCTACACATTTCATGATGAATCCATGTCATTTGGTTATGTCGGGATGAGTAATCTTGTTGGTTTTAGTTGCGATGATGCAATGAAAAGCTGGTCCGGTTCTATATCCCGATATGATTAATGGACAGGACTTTTGAATATGCTAAAGGAATATAATGACATTTTTGAGCTCATAAAGTCTAACACATTTGTAAGGTTGTAAGGACATATATATTTGTGACCAAGTGGGAGATTGTTAGCAAAATTTGGGTCACGTATATATATGATACATATTTAAATGTGTTAGGGTCATTATTTATTAAGCCAAATAATAAAGTGATCTGAATAAATTAAAGTTTTGGCTAAAGGCATATGTCATGAAAATATAATTGTGTAGAGACCATAGAGTAATTTTTAATTTGATGAGGGGCCAAATTGAAAATACTAAAACTTAAGTAATTAACCTAATTTTGGTTATATAAAGGGTCATGGTCCCTTCCGAGAGCACACGCATGAATACGGATACTGATCCGTTCTTTTCTTTCTATCCCCATCAAGAGAGAAAATCCATAGGGAAATACAGGTGCTCTTCAGGTGGAAGACCATAAGATCAATTCAAAGGTGCTCTACAAAGAATATTATGGCTAATTCAGGTACGCTTTCGCATTTAGTTTATATAACATGTTTTCAGTATGGGATTATAGATATATGTTTGATCATTAGGATGAAGATCATATTCAATTACAGTTTTATTAACATACCAAGTATATGATGCTTTTCTAGATGGGTCTTCAAGAATATTTCTCACAAATCGTAGGACTTATCCTTCTTGGATCCTATTCCTCCAATTATCAAGGTGTTCTACCTATTAATGCAAGATAAGAGGCAACGAGCCATTGGCTTCACTCTCAGTATATGATGCTCTACTTGCTTTTGCTTCTCAAGTCTAAAACGTTTACTGTTGCTAAGCCAAAAATGGCTTTAATCAAGTTTCTGATTCCAACGCTCATAAGTCAGTTCAACTTATTGTCCATCAATTCTCTCTCAGCTTTTCTACAATTGTTTTATACTAAAGATTTAAAGGGTCGAACATGTTCTATTACCTATAAATAAAGGCAATGTTTGACCACCCCCAAACTGAATAACCTTTCCTTAGTTGCTTATTTTTAATATATATATATATATATATATATATATATATATATATATATATATATATATATATATATATATATAATTTAAAATAGATCATAGTAACACCTTATATTAGATTTATGGGTCATGCATATTTTTTACTTTATCGAAAATTAGATCATAATTTATCTATATAAAAATAATTTATCTAAAAGTAACATTTTAAAATTAAAAAAATTAAAAAGTAACACCAATTAACATAATCAAAGACATACCTCTTCAAATGCATTTTTTTATATAAAATTGTTCTAATAAATTTAAAAAAGTGATAGCACAATTTTAATAACGATAGTTTTAATGAAAAACAGCTTTTAAATCTAATTAATAAATACTTATTTAAATTTAACAATATTTAAAGAAATCAAATAGATTGATTTAATTGTCAACTGAAAAAAATGTTAAATTAAACTAATTATGGGAATATGAAAAAAAAATTGTACATCTTCCTTTTATAATATTTTGTTACATTATTTTAAATGGGTTGCAGAAGTCCTATTTTATAAATTGTTTCAAGTCTGATACACATCGAGCGTCATTACTTATTTTAAAGTATATATAATAATTAATATGTTATTTCAACCATCTAATTCCATAAATATCTTTCTTGTATTTTATCGTTTATTTGTATTAATCTTCTTTTCAAAAAATTTAATTTTGTTACGTAAATCTTAAATCTTTTTATCATTTTCTTTATTTTGTTTTTATCAGTTACTATTGTCTCGGGATTCATTATATAGTTTTTACTTGTTTTGTTTTTATCATTTATTATTATCTCGGGATTCATTATATAGTTTCTACATCTATCCTAAGATAAGAGGTAACTAATTTCATATATAATTCTAAAATCTGGTGAACACTTTTCGAGAAATCTTCGAATTAAATTTTCTAGAACATGTTTTTAGATCGATGGATTGGGAAGAATTCAAGATAAACTAATTCCAAAGGTGCATCAATCCAAAATATGTTTTTAATATGCGGAATGTAAGAAGTTTCTCGATCCACAACGTATTCACATAGCTATAATTTAAAGCATAAATCATGAACAATAAAGTTTAACTTGGGAAAAATGAAAATAAATACTCTTGAAACAGAAAAAATACAAAGAATATTATTGTAATTTTTCAAATACTAAAAAGATTTAGGAAGAAAGTAGAAAATGCGATAACCTAATATAAATGTTTGAAAAAAAATAGTCCCACGACAGTAGAATGTTTTTATTCTAATTCCTACGTTAAGATTTAAGAAATATTTTTAATTTTTTACTTTTTTTTTTCACTTATTCGAAAAGGATTTAGGATTTAGGGATTGTATGATTTAGGATTTAGGGATTCTATTACGTTCCAAGGATGGAAAAAGTGACTGAAGGAAAACTTGAATAGCCAACGTAAGTGAAACGTTTTGCGTTTCATTATTATTAATAGAAATACTCTTATCTTGGCAGTTCAAACTCATTACTAGGTACAGACAAACACAGAAACATAAACAAATCCACATGCAGCATCAGAGTGAAGATAATAAATATGTAAAGGGAAAAAAAGAACAAAGATATTTTTCTCTTATTGGGTTTTGGAGGCGCTTTTACAGTCCTAGAGAGTCACTTGGTTGCTGCGATCTCATCCTGCTCTTTCTCAATCGTTCTGCGATGATGAAAGCAAGCTCAAGAGATTGTGAAGCATTAAGCCTTGGGTCACAGTGTGTGTGGTAACGTGAGCTCAAGTCATCAAATGTGACTGTTCTTGACCCACCAATGCACTCAGTCACATTTTGACCTGTCATCTCTAGATGAACACCTCCTGGGTGGCTTCCTTCTTGCTCGTGCACATCAAAGAATGCTCTCACTTCGGCCTGACCAATTAATTCAGTGGAAAAGATTCAGTGGTCTCATTAATCACGTAAATTTTCTCTATCTCACTAAACTCTGTTGCTTTGGAAAGTCACATTGATTTGGAAGGTATCCAAACCCTAGAAAAAGTCCTTTGGTGCTATCATATTTCCTTTTTTACTAGTTGACAAGAATAAAAACATTAACATCAGCAAGGACCCCAAGGGTCCACTCCCACCTAATGATATAGAAATATAACCAATTCCACAATGATATTGGGAACCGAAAATGCCCTTACCAATACACTATTTCACCAACTTAGCAAGTAGACCTTTGTCGACCTACCACTTCCTGCTTCTAAATATTACATACAGCCTTAAGGTTTGGTAGCCCACCATACACGACCTCACTTCAGATGCCGGTATATTCTATTCACATCCTTCATTTTTTTTCTATATATTTTATTCAGGTCATATTTAAGAGGATTGTTTCATCCAAAGATTATGACTAGCACATGGTGCAACAAACGATTTTATTTTCTTCTGAGGAGGACAATAACTTCAATTTCATTTTAATCCTAAAATATCCGCATATTTAAAGCTACTCGATAGCCACCTATAACCAATTAAAATAGAAAGAGATCCGAGAGTTTACCCTAATGGAATCGAAGGGGCGAGTTTTAAGACCACAGGGAGCCTTAATGGTGTTTCCATGCATAGGATCACTGACCCAGGTGACAATTTGTCCTGCCCTGCGCACTGCCCTGATAAGATGTGGAAGCTTCACCCTCATATTTTCAGCCCCCATCCTAGTGATCACAGTTATTCTCCCCGGTTTGTTTTGGGGGTTCAAGATCTCAATGAGTTTAACAAGCTCATTTGGATCCATCTTATCACTTACCTGCCAATGCATAAAAAACATAAATTCAATAAAGCCACTAAAATCTCAATAAATGCAAATCAAATAAACACTAGAGACATAAGAATGAAAGGTGCATTTGGAATAAGAATTAAATTGATCATGTCCAAACCTTGATTCCCAAGGGGTTAGCAACTCCTCTTAGAAATTCAACATGCGCACCATCTAACTGTCTGGTTCGTTCCCCAACCCAAAGCATATGGGCTGAACAATCATAGTAGAGACCAGACGTTGAATCCAACCTAGTGAGAGACTGTTCATATGGCAACAATAAGCATTCATGAGATGTCCAGAATTCAGTTGTTTTCATGATTGGGTGGTCCACCGTGAGCCCAGCTGCAGCCATGAATCCAAGGGCCTCATCAACTCGGTTAGCAAGCTCCCGGTATCTGCCATGTCAAGAACATATAATCTACGTCAAGCCACACTACCATTAAAAAAAATACACCTTGTAAAAAAATGATAAACAGGTACATTCCTCATATAAACAGTTATCTAGAAAGTAGTAAAAGAACAATATTGTTTCTCTTTACACCATTTTGATTACAACATTCGTATCCTATATAAAATAATAGTGCATACACCAAACACACTCTAAATACAAACTAGGAAAGTGTAAAGTATAACCATCATGGGTGCAGAAATAATATGGGCGTGAAAGATATCAGGGAGGTGAAATATTATCGATTTTCCAAATATGGAATGCAATATATTTAGCAGGGTTAAATACTACAAAATTAGGAAATCCATACACTCCCATTTCTTTAATGCACCCTCCAATATGGCTCCTTGGTATGCATCTATTCACATAAATTACACTACAAAAATATGCATACAATATAAAATTTGAAAATTTTCATTTTTCCCAGCAATCTCTGGTATTTATCACTCTACAAAATTAGGAAATACGTACACTCTGAGTTGTTTGATAGATCATCAATTATAGCCCCATATATGCACATTCACATCTACTACACAAATATGTATACAATCTAAGAAGTTTGGAACAATATTTGTTTTTTACTTTACTATTTTTTATACTCTTTTATAATTCTTTTAAAATGTCAAATCACGTAGCAAAAGAGGAAAGCAAAAGCAGGCTGTCTTTTTAATGGGTGTCTGAAAGTAATTACAAAAGAAAAGTAAAGAGCAATAATCGAGTTCTGCCTTCCGAGTCTGTGCTAGAGACAACTTCAAACAAGATTCGTATATGATGTTAAATATCACATCTCATCAATATGGGTGCGAGAGAGTTAACGAGTATATTGGGTTGCCAATGAAATATTTCGAAAGTAACTCTAAATCCCTTAGGTCAAATTGTGAAAGAAACTATATTAAACTATCACCATCAGATACCACTGTTTAAGGAACTCAAGTAACTCGTGCTGATATAAAATAAACTGTAACATAATTGCGACCCGGACCGAGCTGGCACTTTAGAGAAAAACAAAACAACAAAATGCCCACCACCACACATGCATCCCCCCACATGTCACAATGTCAAACAGCGGTTTACTCTACCACCTACGAAACAAAAAAAAAAACAAGCATTTCTCTTTGTTTCTCCATAATCAATTTCGGTTTCACCTAATTTTACAAAGGAATCAAAGTATAAATTTTGCATAATCAATCAATAAAAAGTAAATAATTATCACTAAAGTCAAATATCATTCCAAATATTATTTACTCTTCATAAAACCTCAAAGAGAAAGAAGCCCAATTTAGATGTTTTCCTTTTCCGATTACAAACCAACCTAGATTTCATGTAAACCAGGGAATCCTTTAACAGTCGAACAAAACTAATTCAAAGTATTGCTCCAGTTCAAAGCAAAAGTAAAAATTGCAATCGTAAATTGCAAATAAATAAGTACCTATCTCCCTGTTCGCTGTGCTCGGTGAAGTCCAAATTCCATTGAGTAACCCTCTGCATAGCGGCATAACCTCCAGTGGCGAAGGCTCTGAGAAGATTAAGCGTAGCTGCAGCTTGACAATAAGCCCTAATCATCCTCTGCGGATCCGGAATCCTTGACTTCTCATCAAACGCATCTCCGTTAACGTTATCACCTCTGTAACTCGGAAGCTTCACCCCGTCCTTCTCCTCAAACTGATCCGACCTCGGCTTCGCAAACTGCCCCGCCATTCTTCCCACCTAAACAAGCAACACCACCATTCAAATTCACACTCACACTCACCTTCAATTTAATTCAATTCACAACAGAATGTGAAACAAATATTGTTAAGAAATTGAAACTTCGATATCCTATCGAACGGGAGTGTCTTGGACAGGGTTTTACCTTGATGACGGGCATTTGACCGCCGAACATCATGACGACACTCATCTGGAGGATGATTCGGAAGGTGTCACGGATGTTGTTGGCATTGAACTCCTTGAAGCTTTCAGCGCAGTCACCGCCTTGAAGAAGAAAGGCATTTCCGAGAGCGGCCTCGCCCAGGCGCTCCTCCAGCGTCCGGGCCTCCCCGGCGAATACGATAGGCGGGAACGCGTCGAGCGTACGGAGAACGGACTCTAGATCCTCCTGGCTCGGGTACTCGGGCAGCTGCAGGGCCTTCTTCGTCTTCCAGCTGTCCACGGTCCATTTTCCGGCCCGGGTAGCGGCTGGGGGAGGCGGGGCCTGGGGCTGGGTCTGTGGTTTGGGCTTGTCGGAGACTACGGGGTTTTTGGCGGGCTCGGCGGCGTGGACGGCAAAGATTGAATGAGATGGGCCGGGCTTGGGCTTGAGGCCGGGCCTGATGTTGGTGGCGGGAATGAGAGGGTGGGATTGGGGGATGAGAGATTTGGTGGGAATGAGAGAGTTAGAAGTTGAGGAGATTGCCATTTTGTTGTTGGAGAGAGAGAATGGTAATGATATTGTTATAATGGTGTTCGGTGTGAGGAGTCACACAGGTTTTGTGGGTGGTGAAGAGGGTGAGGTGTGTTTGGTGAGGGTTTTATAAGGAGACGGCACTGGCGTGGGTTGTTGCGGTGGGTTTGTGTGTCTGGTAGGGACGGAATGGTGGTAGTTGGGAGAAGGGTAATTTGGTCATTTAGAGGGTGTTTTGGTAATTAGCGTGTTTTTGGGGATAGTTGTTGGGTGTGCTAGTTGGCAATGAGATGAAATTGTTTGAGGGTTTTTAATTTTTTTTGGTCTTCACCTACTAATCGCCCCTCATTTGGGCGTAGGTGAGTTGGCGGCGTGGCGTGGCGTGGTGTTGTCGACCCAGCTAACATTTTTTAGGTCAGAGAAAATAAAAACTTTACTTTGATTCAATCGCTTTTATAAATAAATAAATAACTGGTTTAGTCGCAGGAAGTTTGGAACTCAGTGCACTACTTGAAATATAGTCAAAGTGCCTACCATGGATTCAGCGTTGAGGGGCTGCTTCAATAATTTATAGAGTCAGTTTAGTTTCAATTTTTCGTTAAGATGGTTTCTAAGTGGGATTACGTCTTCTTTTACTGCTGCTGTGGGTAGATTCATTTTAATAAAATTTATTTTAAATTTTATTTGTACGGTGAGATTCATCATGTTAAATATAGTATTAATGATAATGGCAAAAAGACTATATACAGTACGGTAATCAAAACTATATATGAAAAGATTCTCCTGTTTAAATTATTTTAATATTATTAAAAAGACATAAAATATCTTATATAATAAATAAATAATCTAGAATAATATAGAGAATAAAAAAATAATTTCAAAAATTTGTTGATGTATTAAAAAATACGTGAAAATGCTAAAAAAATAATTTAGTATAAACTAAAAATGTGATATATATTAAAAAATAAACAACAAAATTAAAATAAATATTTTTTAAATAATAATATAAAAGTTGTAGAAATACAATGTTTTTTTATTAAATAGAGAAAAATAAGTATATTATATACAAAGGAATTTTTTTAATTATTTTTTTATGAAAGAAAGAAAAATAAAAATATTATATTTATAATCTACACTATATATAAAAAGGTGTAACTATTTTTTATATCATGGAAGAGAAGAAAAAAATAAAAAATGTGAGTATGCTTAAAGTGTATGTATTTATACTAGTATATATAAATTGGATTCTGTTTTGCAATAGCTTTTATTTGTTTATGGAGAAAATATATATATATATATATATATATATATATATATCTTTATTTTTGTAATATTTTTTTATTTTTTCCCAAGTATAAAATAATAAATAAAAATTAAAAAAATATTTTTTTTACTTCCTTAATCACATATTTTTTATATTTTTTCTCATTAGTTTATGTCTTGGACAATTTATAATTTTAAAAACAAATTTTATGTTTTAAAAATCAAATATAATAAAAAAAACTGTAGTAATGATAAGAGGAACGAAAAAATTATTAGAAAATAGAGTAATATTATATATATATATATATATATATATATATATATATATATATATATATATAATTTTTGTAGTATGTTCATGTCACACGTTACTTAGATCAATAGTAATTTAAATATATATTCTTTATTAACTTCTGGACAAAATTAACTAAAATTCCAAATATATATATATATATATATATATATATATATATATATATATTTTAAATCCCTGCAGCAAAATAAAAATAAATAAATTCTTAAAATAAATGTAAGAATTTTTATATTGAGTAGACAATTATTTTAAATCATGAAACATATTTTACGTTTTGAATATGTAATTAAAAACTAAAAACTCAGCATCACTCCCCAGACAAATCTAAGTTTTGTGATTTGGATAGATTTAATCGCCATCAAAATTAATTAGCATTTTAATTCGTGCACATAGCATGTGGTCAATTTTAATATATCAATTTTATAATAAATAAATATATATATATATATATATATATATATATATATATATGAATGATATTATTTCTAATAAACATTTTTTAAGAGAGAAAAAATGTGTTTTTACTTTCTATACAATAAAAAATTATGCATAAATTAAAAATAAAAAAAATGAGAGAAATTTAATAAAAAAATTACGAATGAAATAATTTTAATTTATAAATAATTTGTTTTTCGTTCTAAATATATTTAGGAAAAAAGAGTTGTTCCAATGTAATAAAATAAATTTAGTTTCATTTAAAAATAAAAAACTACAATACGGGGACAAAATGGGCAAGGCGAAAAAAAGTGAAAGAAGACCTTATCTCTTTTGAAAATATAAAAAGATTGTATTGTTTTTGGTTGTTGCAAGAGGTTGGTGAATAATAAATTGGTTGCTTTATATATATCTCCTACCACTTATTAATTTCTTTTCCTTTTACTTAAGCTGTTATGTGCTATGGGACTTATTTTAGATTCCATGTTTTTTGTTTTTTATTTTTTATTACTTCAAATAAAATATTTTTTATTTTATAAATTATGAAGAAATCATTTCTAATTTTTTTAATAAAATTATTTTGAAATAAATATGAATATTTTATTATAAATTTTATATATGGATTATTTAAAATTTGATTAGAATTATTTATATATATAATTTTTTTAATTTTAAATCATTGTTTTAAATTTTAAATAATAAAAATATAAAATTCATAATAAAATATTTGTTTTAATATTTAAACAATTCTTCTTCACAACTCTTATCACAGCCGTAATCACTAAGTTAAAAATTCTTAAATTTTATTTATCAGCTTTCTTTCTTCTTAGCCACTCAAACATTGATCATAATTAAAGTATTATATGGCATATTAGCATAATACGAATAATACATCTGCTACTATTTGTCCTTGTTCATTACAACAGTGGCAGCCATCACTGAGTCTTCAGAGCAAAGACCAGACCATCCTATAAAAAGTCAAAGCTGGTGACGCTCAAATTTCCACGTGGAAAATCACTGGAACTTTGGTGTTCCAAGTTAGCACACGTGCACAACAAGGGGTAAACATGCCAATTGACCATTATACCCAATATTTTGATTAAAGATTTTTTTATTGGGATGGATCCAAGTCTTCTTCCACCAACCCACTTTAACTCATTTTCCTTCTCTCCACGGATGCTGCTACCCCCACCTATTCCTAACAAACTTCTACTCCTACCCCCCTCAATCTATAAAATATTTTCACACATAAGGAAATTGTTAGATATTTTATTTTATGTTTTATATATATATATATATATATATATATATATATATATATATATATAAATCCTGTATTTCAGCTTTTACTACATTAATCATTACATGAACAAAAGTTAAATAGCCAAATCCTCAATCTAATGTGGTATTTGTACGGAAGATTTTTGTTTTGAATTCAAATTGAAACTCTATTTATTTAGTAGCTCACTTCACTCCAAATGTTAGACCAACCCAAATTAATATCTGGAAGTCAAATTTTAATATGATATCATAGACATAGGATCACACTTTGTCTAAAAATGTTATTGCCCTAAGCCAAGAAGATATATTGTTTTGTTGCCTGTGAGGATTTTCATCTTAATCATAAACATGGATAGCATTGTTATAGAAAGTTAGCATTTAAAATTGGTAGTGAAATTGGTAAAATTAGGTGTCTTAAAGTAGTTACGTATCTACTCATTGGAGTCTCTTTGTTTAAGACCATTTATAATAAGATATATTCGTTCAGGCGTTTAAATAAAACTAAAATTTGTTTGAAGTATTTTTTTTTTATTAAAGTTGCTTCAGTAATATATTTGAAGCATTTTTCATTAGAAAAAATGTTTAAAAAAAAGTTATAAGTTTTTTCACGAAGAAACTATTATTTATGAATCGAAAAAAAAAATGGGGAGAGTGAAAGTTTGTATAAGTGATTAGAAATTTTTCCTTAAATTCTACATTTATGTGTAATAGTTGTTTAAATTCCATAATATAAGTGTTTTCGAAAGAAATATATTCTTAATTCAGGTTATTTGATGTCAAAAATTATTTGACATGTTATCATCTAGTCTAAGATTTTAACGATAAAATAAAAATAATAATATAAATTCATATGATAAAAAAAATGTATTTTGATACAATGTATTATTTATTCAAAATAAATTATAAATGTAAAAAAAAATACTTTTTCATACACATAATTAATTTTCTTGTCATTTAATAATTAAGGTGAGTTGTTATATTAAAAATATATTAAAAACATATAAATAAATGAAAAATAAGTATTTTCCACCTTGAAATAAGGGATCTCTTCTTAAATAATATACTTACTTTAATAATAAACATAAAAAGAATTACTTATAGTCTTCAATATTAATATTTATTTTAATTTAATAATAAAAATAACAATTTATCTTAATTGTTACATTATAAAAATTAATTATTATATAATAATTTAAAATAATAATTTATTTTAATTATTATATTATAAAAATAACTATAATGTAAAAAAATAAACATAATATAAAAATATAGTTTTTTTTAGACTTTTTCTTGGAGTCCCTTGTGAGCTTTTAAACTATACATATCTCGTTATACTAATAATTAAAAAAAAATAAACAATACTTTTTTATGATTTAAATGGAACAACTTCAACATTCTCAACCGGGAATGGATGATGAGTTTATTATATAATTCTGAAGAAAACCAATTATATGCTAATTGGGAGATTAACATGAACATTTCATGTTGTATTGACTTATCTAAGAGACTATTTTCCATTTAGGAACGAATTGGGGGAACCATGAAAATTTAGGAAAATCTAAGATTCGATGTTCAAAAGGGTCACATAGCAGCATGTCTTCACAACTCAGCATACTCATGCATCATAATTACATTACATGGAGCTAGAATCGAACAGACAAAACATGAGAATAAATGACTTAATAAAGAACTCTGCGTTTAAGCTTTTCATGAAATTTCGTGGTATATATTCCCTTGGACAATCCTATAGATTCCTTTTGGGTGGTGCACACGTATCAATATTTAATATAAAGTATCAACAACCATAAATAATATTAGTATATTAATATATTTAATCATAGAAATTATATATATTTTTTAAAATGATTATCAAATTATCATTTCTCTATAAAATATCATTGTATCCCGGTCATTTTGGATAAATCTTGTTGTATAAAGAAAATAAATAAGTTCAGTTGACTTATGTATAAATAACATCAATTTAATTTGATTTTCATAAATAATATTTTTGGAACTATTATCACTGAGAATACTATTTTTATAAAAAATGTCTAGTAAATATTTTTAACTTTTTTATTAAAAAAATAAAAAACATATAACGTTAATATATATATATATATATATATATATATATATATATATATATATAAAGTTGAATTTGGAGAAAAATAAAACCAAATGATTTAGTTAGTGAATGTTTGGTTTGGTGTTGAATCAAGTCAAACATCAATCCATAATTTACATCCAAACTGGCGCTAGTTTAAATGGTTTTTTATTTTCAATACTTGAAATAGTTTCTATTTTATTTTCCCATCGGGTCCAAGGATTTAAGCGTCAAAACAAGCACATATTAAGTCTTTATTTAGTTGGGATGAAAGTGATGGAAGGAATGAAAGAGACAAGAAAAGAAATAGGTGAGAAGTGGGTGAAAACTATATTCTTGGTTGAATTTAAATAGAATATAAAGAGAGAAGAAATCTTTTTGTGTCAAAAGCAAGAAATTAGGGCCGGACAAGAAAAGGCATAACAATTGGGAGGCCCAACTGAGAGGCTTATGTAGATGGATGGGCCGTGATATTTAAACAAACAATGTGGGGCACTGATTTGTCTTAGATAGTACTATTTACATGTTTTTTGTTTTGTTTTTTTCTTTTGGAGAATCATTCATTTAAAAAATCCTTACTTTTGAACTTCCTAACATACTAAAGTGCTCCAATTAGCTTTTAACATGTCCAGTCCAATCTAACAAATAAAAAAAGTTCATCACCAAACGAATTATTGATTTAGAAAATAGTATGTTATCGCTTTATTACGAAAGATCACTTGTTCAAAAAGGAAGCTACTTTATCTTAAGAAAAATCACCAAGTCCTCACATCAATTTATATGATTAAGTTTTTTAGTGTTTCTGTATTATTACATTTTCTAAATATGGTTAAAACAATAAAAATAGTTTTAAACAAAAAAACAAAATAGTTACATAATTGCCATTATAATATATTACATTATCATGTAGAATTAAACTACTTCTTTTACATTATATAAAATATAAGTGATTTTTAATTTATTAACGAAATAAACATTTCTTCCCTTTTTAGTCCTTTTAGTAAGCTTTGATTTTATCTTTATAAAAAAATAATTTTTATTTTTCGAAGGCATAAACTAAGTTCTTTGAAAAATTAATATTTTTTATTTATCATAAAATAATTATTAATAATAAAAACTAGGTGATTTTAAACTTAAAAAAATAAAATTAAAAACAAATATGAAAAAAAAACTAAATAAAAATTCACCCACATGTACTTAAAATAATCATTTCAAAATTTATAAAGAAATTACACCAACCAAAATTTAAACTGATTAATTTTACAATTACTATAAAGAAAAATATTTATATTGAGATAAAGAGAAATATCTACTTATTCCGGATTTATTTTCATGGTTACTGAGTCAAACTACAAATACACATCTTTTAAGTTTTTGTCGAATTTCAGACATTCCATTTTTTTTAAAATTCTACATTATTTTTTGTTTTATTTTAAAAACATTACAATATTTTCATTTTTGGATCCACATGCATTCCATTAAAATTTATTAAACACATCTTTATTTGTGTACTATAATATCTTTATCGGACAACGCATGCATGAGATTATCTAAAGTTTTTTTATTAATAATAAATAGTAATTTCATATTATAATAAATATTAACAATAGAATAAAAACAAAATATTATATGTAGATATTAATATTAAAATTAAAATTGCAGCGGATAGAAGCTAAACACTCAAAATTAATAGAAACATGTTTTATTTTATTAAAAGAACGATAAAAAAACATAAATATAATTCGATAAAACCTTACTTTCTCATAATAATTTATTCTTTTAAAATAAAGTCAGTGTTAGATCTTTATTGATATCTTAAATACAATTAATTCTATTAAAAAAATTAAAAGTAAAAGATTATAAGAGAAAAAGAAAGAAAACTATATGACAAACAACAAATTATGTAAGATATCTAGAAATTAGATGCTATAAAATTTAAAGTTAGTGTAAGAAAATCATAACTTAAAGTAAATATCCTCTTGCATAAACTAACATGCCAAATAAAACAAAAAAATGTAACCCTCCCAGCCTAACTTACAAATCACTCCTCTTAAAACACAATTCACAGATCCATACTCTGTCCTTGTTCATTTTCACACACACCCCATTCACACCAGCGTCTTGCAGCTGGAGCTGAGCGGGTCCCACATCGCCGGAAGCAAAAACTTCCGCCCGCGCACCCCCACGGCGTTGTAGCTCGCCCCACTCGCCTTCTCAACCAGAACGTTCCCGGCGTAACCCGGATACGCCCCCTTCCCGAAGATACCGGCGCAAGCCGATACAGCCTCCAGCGGCGCGCTGGCCGGCCCCTGATAGTACCCGTCCTCGAACGGGTTCGTCACCAGCCCCGCGAGAACCGTCGCCAAATTTATCACCATGCCGTCGACGCCAACGTCGCCGTTAGGCGCCACTAACGGCGCCGTTTGAGGGCCGTAAATGGGTTGGTGGAAGGGCCACGCGCACTGCCCCGGACACTGCGCGACTGCGTTCCCTACCCACGCGTAGGCCACCCTCTCGCCGTTTTTCCTCTTCCCCCACCCGTGGGTCCCGCACCGGTTCATGCAAAAGTCCTCCACCGCCACGTCAGCGGATGTCATGATCAGGTGCACCACGTGATCCCCGGAGTTTACTTTCGACGCCAAGGCGAGGAGGTTGTTTGTTTTGAGCGACTTCCCGAGGGAGTAGGCGTGGTCAAGGGTTTGGTTTCCTACGACGAGGGTGCAGGGGCCTCCCCTGTAGCTCTCGGTGGTTCGCCACCATGAAGACACTGAAGGGGTATGAGAGGATGACTTGGAGCTTAACGATTGGACGAAGTCGATGACTATGGAGCGCTGTGTGGAGGTGAATGTACCGTACCATATTAGATGAAGGGTGATGTTACCCTTCAGGAGGGTACCTTTATGGTACTTCAAGACAAGTGGTTGGTTCTGAACCAAGGCTAACATGCGGTTCGGCGCACGAGAAGTGGCTTTGGAAATGTTTGGAACACAGGATGCTAAGAGGAGGAGGAAGAGGAGAAGGGAATATGGGTTCAGCAGAGCCATTTTAGTGTTGTTGTGAGTGTTCGGGAGTTTTAGAAGGGGGTTTGTGTTGTTTATATAGGTGTGAGGAAGATGGAGGATTATTCGATTTGGATATGATTTTGTTTTGATTTGTGCAGTGCAACGTTAGTTAACAGAAAGCGTGTATCTTTAACAATTATGAAGTACTACTGTCTCCGTCAGCTGCTAATATATACTTCTACGTGCATGCTTCATCTTCTGGTTATATTGACATGTAATAATTAATTAGTTAATGTTTCGATAGAGATTTTAGAGCAACACTATCAACCCTTTTCTATTATAAATATCTCTTTAACGTAAATAAATATACTATATAAATTGCTATGTAATAGTTAATTAATGGTTGGATGGATATTTTAGATAAATGATACACCAACACTTTTCTGTAACAAAAAAAATGTAAAAGCATTTAGTTAGAAAACTAACTTCATAGATTGGGTGACTTGGACTGAATTAGGGAAGTTCAAATTCGATTTCACATCTTAGACAACTAATTATCCTTAAGTCTAAGCATTTGGTATTATTTTAGTTGTGAAAATTATGACAATAAAAATAATTTATATTTAACAAATTAAAAAATGAAAATAATATTTTTTACAATTCCAGAAATTAAATTGATTAATATTTATAATTTTAAAAGTTAGTTTGATGTATGAGTGGGTAGGCGTTTCTAGACCTATATGCTTGTTGGCAGCCTGCTGGCACGATGTATCCTTCTCATCCACCGTGTAACAAAGATTTAATAACATTTTCACTCAATTAATTTAAAACCCTTTAATCCGTTTATCCCATCAATGTATTATATTAGAAATGTTATCGAAAAAAATCGATGAACCTGTCATTAGTTATAATTCTCCTTAAAAAAAATATTGTTGTTATTTGTACTCATACATCATTAAATTGATTTAGATTTTCAATAAGATAAATTAATTTTATCTTCATTATATTTTGGATATCAAATTATCTTAGATAAAGAGCAAAAGAATTAAGGGATTAAAAAGATCACACAAATTCTAAGAAGTATCATATAATATCTCCTCTTACATTTTTTATCTTGAGTTTTTAATTATACATTAATTTGAGGGATGAAAAACTTTCCATATGTGGATCTCTCTTCTTTTCCGTTCAGGACACATCTTCGAAATCATCATTGACTTATATATCATTTCTGTCAAAACATTATTAAATTATAAATAATAAAAATATTCATAAGTAAGATTGAGTTTGATCGGTTAATTGTTGTTTTTGATGTGTAATTTAAGGGAAAAATAATAAAAAATATTTATTATTTGATTACAATCTAAGCAGTCAAGAGAATATGAGATCAAGATATTATTTTAAATTAAAAAATGTAGAGATAATAAGATTATGAGCATGTCACATGCGTACTATTCAACTACTGTATTTTCATATAATATGAAATTTCAACTAATTCTTTAAATTTTAGTCATCTCGCACTAAAACATGAATCTCTTCTTATTGATGTTCTTTCTCAAACAAAATTATTTCTTAATAACTCTTGTTTATAACATTATATTTATATCTACTATAATTGGACACTTTCTTCAAACCTATGTTAGAATATATATAAAGATTTGGAAATTTAGGATTTCCATAGAGTTAAAATTTCTAACATTATATAAAATGAAAAAAAAATCAAAACATTCATAAATCAATAATATTAAGATTTTGATTTAAATGTGATATTATCCTCCTTTTATTAATTAAGAGATTGTCCAATAATAAATATCTCCCTATATATATTTTGGTTAAATAAATAAAATATAACTTTAAATTTAAAAATTGATAAATAAAAGGTGGAGTTCAAAATGTATGGAGAAAATAAAAAGTACAAAAATAAAAACCAAATCCAAAAATTTGTTACGATTAAAACTCAAAATATTTTTTCTTATATAATTGAGAATAAACTCCGAAAAATATCAAACAACATAAATAATAATAATAATAATAGTTGGATATAAAAAATAATAGAAAATTAATTGATACCCAAATTTAATGCGTGAAAAAAATATCGACACTTAATCCGATAAAAACATTCACTAATAATAATTAATAAATATAATACAAGTTTTTTAGTCGTTAAAAGTCAATTTATTCTAAAATAACTCATATATAAATGAAAATATATTCGAATGAGCCAATAACTCAAAGAAAATTTGTTTTCTTCTTTAATTTAATCAACAACCCCCTTAATATCAAATTCATATTATGAGCTCCAAATTTCTATTTTATAACTATTGAGGTTGGAGTTCAACACTATAGAAGAATTATTCATATGTAAGAACAAGTTTTTACAAATAAAAATATATATTATATAATCAATAAATTTAATGTAAATATATTATATATTATATATGACGAGCTGAATCCATGAGTTTAGCACCACAACGTAATAATATAAACAATAAATTTGATTGTGTAAGATTTGAATAAAAGACCTTAAATATTTGATTTATAATGTTAGATTTGATTAGATTGGTTTAATAAATAGTTTAATTTCATATTGATATTTCTTAAATAAGCTCTATGTACTCAAATAACGTATATGAAAAAAAAAACTAAAATTAATCTAAAAAAAAACTCCTACAACACATTTGTTTATCATAATGGAGGATGTTAATTATATTATGTTGTAAAATGGATAAATAAAAAAGAATGGAGTAGCAGTAATAATGGGAAGGTGTATTTTTGGGTGGCTAGGAATAAATGGAACAAAGATGATGATGAATAAACATTGAGAGATGAAGTGTAGGTTTGTTGATTAGTACCAAACGAAGGGAAAAGGTTAAGAATTAGTTCCCTCTTATTCATTGCAGCTTAATAAATTGCTTTGACAAGGCATAAGCACCCAACTATTCGGTCTCATGATCGAGTAACACGTCTTCTACAACTATGCAAAAACACACAAAATAAATGAAATTGACGACACCAGAAAATAATTTTGCCCCACTGTATATGAATCTGGCAACGCGGATTAATAAATTGCCACTAATTAACCACAATAAGGGTTTCTCATTTATAAACTAATATAGTAAATATTATTCTTTTTGAAATTAAAATATTAAGATTGTACTAATATAAAAACTAAAAGGTGGATTTGTAAAATATGATATTGAAATTAAAATATTAAGATTGTAAATATGTCACGTTCTTTCTTAACCCAATATTCATTGCAATGGTGTCTTGTCATCTTTAAAGGAAAGAACACCCACTCCCTCATCATGATGTGTTGCTTCCATTTAGGAGTAGACACGGCTACACGGCTACCACGAAATTTATTATCTAATATATATTATATGAATCAAATTACAAAAACTTAAGTAGTTATACTTATTTGTTGGATTCAGATTTAAAAATTATGAATTCTATCAGTTCAGATATTGAATTTAAATATGTAAAACACGAATTAGTCTTGACTGATATAAAAATATATCATTTAAATTTTGGTTTTTATTTTATAATTCTATAATATTATATTTTAGCGTTTGAGTGCATAAGTTTAATTGAACCTGCTATCACCTGTCCATGTTCCAAAAATAAAGATGAAGTAGACTAAAGTTTAGTAATTTAAGAAATTAATTATATTGGGGAATTGAACTAATCAAAATCTGAATTGAATATATTATTGGTATGATGCGCAATTTAGAAGAGTTGTGGAGTGAATTAGCGTACACGTATTTGGTATTCGTGCAGATGAAAAACAGAGCGCGTAATTGCGTTGAAAGTGCGGTTGGTAATAGCAGAGTTTTGAGTGGTGGTAATAGTAAGTGAGTGGGGTTGGCAAAGCTGAAGACGGTACACAAAAACCTAAGAGAAAGGTCGGAAAGGTTGCTCTGACCAACACCAAATCCAACTTTGGTCTGGTCGGTGAATAATAATCAATGGATGTGAGGCACTGACACTGTTCTGTTCATGAGAGTTGGGTACGTTGTGTTGTGATGTGTTGTCTTGTGTTGTGTTGTTGTCTTCCAAATATAAATGGTGCCACACCACAACGGATTCAACATGTAGCATATGAAAATGCATGGGCCTTGCCTTTTTCCTTTGGGAAATTGGGAAGTGTAATGGGTGGGCCAAGGACAACCGACCCTGTTGAATTTATGGACATCAATCGTACCCTCATCAATTTCGATTCCTTCTGTGTGTTGGTACTAAAACAACAAAGAAAGCGTTCTTAGGGCAACTATATTGGAGAAACTTCTTAGTTATTTATCATATTTTATCTAAATGTTACATCTTTTACTGTTTTAAGTAATTTAATTTTTTTACTCTATTAATGTTTTAACTAAAAGACAATTTTTGAATGAACTTCACTATTTTCTTTACACGAATACAAATTTCGTGAGATCCAAAATATAAGTAAAGAAGAACAATTGTTACTTTATGTAATAAAAATATGGTTCTTTCAAATTGTATTTAGGCGATAATTCTAGAGTAACTCCATATGGAGTGGAGTTGCCCTTAATTTATACATAATTTTTTGTGTGTAAAGTGCAAGTATGATTGATATTATGGTGATATTATGAGAAATTATCGAATAAATTGTATTCTACGGGTCAAAAGACACAATATTACATTGTATTTTTTTTCTTGTAAGTATGCCATTTTATTAAATATATGATATTGATAATTAATTCATATTTATTAAAAAATTATTAATTTAGTAAAAACATTAAATTTATCTGTATTTATAACTTTTTTTTCGAAATTATAGTTTATGATTATGGAGTGAAAATAAGAGTATACGGATATAATTTTTCAAACTAAACTATTCGGTTGTACTCTTTCAGTTACTTTTTAAACATTATTTATAGGTTCTTTTACGTAAAAAAATGTTCATAAGATTTTCTATTTTGCTTCTTATGCCATAATAGATGCATATATATTAAAAATTAAATGATTAAGATGATATAAATAAAAATAATAATTACTATTATCTTAAAAGTGTAAGGATAATACGTATTTTTCAATAAAAGGTGTAGCTGTAATTTACTCAAGCATTTAACTGAAATAAAGGCTGTACGTTTGAAGTCAAAATGGGTTAATTAATGTGAAGAATAAGAAAAAAAATAGAGATGTTTAATAGGAGATGGGACCTGCCTGTAAAAAAAGAAAAGAAAAACAATTTTATGTGTTCTGTTTATATTTTAAAATAAAGTCAGCAATTAAAGTCAATTTAAATGTGCTATACAATTATCATGTAACATGTTCCCTATGTCTTGTAAGAAAATTATTACTAAAATTAACAATTTCAGTATAGATAGTAGCTTGCAATTTGATTGACCATGTAAAAAGACATTACATTACATTGTCAGTGTAATAAAAATTTTAACATCAACCATTTTAAGTTATGAAACCTTTTATATGAAAAAACAATTAATGCATTAAAATGAAATACAGTTTAACAATTTCATAAAATCACAACTGATTGCATATTTTAAGTTTATCAGAATTTTATAATAATTATTTTAAATAATATACTTACGACTATTTTTTTATTAATTAATAGTATAAAAGGGTTTACACTAATTATGCATTCATTAAACGTTTTTATTAAGTAAATGCCCATTAGTATTTTTTTAAATATAGCATGCAATTAAAGCTTTTTACAAAGTCATTCAACTAATTATGATAAATTTGTTAATTTTCATAATTATTATTCAGCAAAAACTAATTTTTAGTTATTCATATTTTTTTAACATAAATAATGTATATTTAAGAAATCTATTAAAAAGAAAAAAGTAATTTTATTCAAAATATTTCAATACAAGTATTTTATTCAATATATATATATATATATTAAATATTTCTCATGATAATAACATATTGATTTACAAATAATTAGAGAAATACTATGACATTAAATAAATACATTGTAACTATAATATATTATAAACAATTATAGAATTATTATAAGTTGAAAAAACTGGAAAAGTTTGTATAATTTAATGAAAAGTGAAATTATATGCACTTCAAAATAAATTCTAAGAGAGAATCTATATTATTATATGCTTAATTAAAATGGTAAGAACATTATTTAGGACTATTTTTTCAAGCATAGTAAAAGGAATGAACAAATAAAAGAATTTGTCGAATTGATTAACAAGCTACACGTATATAGAAACTTGGAGTTATGTTGTGGCTGCACGATGACACGTTATTTCCGCGTTTACACGAGCGTTGAACAAGCTGAGCTCTTAGGGTCAACTAGTGCTGGCAACAGATATTTCCTTCCGTTGACGCCATTGGCGTTGTAGCTGGCACCAGTCGTGGGGTCCACCAAGAGGTTCCCTGCATAGCCAGGGTACGCGCCCTTACCATACACTCCAGTGCACGCGGAACCAGCTTCCAAGGGAGCCTCTTTGGGTCCCTGAAAGTACCCGTTCCCGAATGGGTTGGTGGCAGTGCCAGCCAAGAGACTAGCCACGTTGATGACCATGCCGTCGAGACCAACATCGTTGTTGGGTGCAACCAAAGGTGGATTCTGGGGACCGTAAATGGGTTGGTGGAATGGCCAGGCGCATTGACCCGGGCATTGGGTTTCAGAGTTACCCACCCAGATGTACGTGAACTTGGACCTCTTCCCGTTCACGCGCCCCCCCACGGAGGACCCGTGAGTTCCGCACCTACTGGAACAGAACCCTTCCACTGCCACGTCGGCGGATGTGAGAACGACGTTGATTGCGTTAGCCTGTGGACCCTTGGATGCGAGCTTGAGGATTTGATTAGTGGTGAGAGATTTGCCTAAGGAGTAGTTCTCATCCACGATTTGAGAGCCCAGGGAAAGGGCGAGTTTGGGGGATGAGCTTTTGTAGTACTTTTCAGTGGCTTTCCACCACGTGGCGACGGATGGTTGGGCGGTGACGGGTTTGGGAGAGGAGAGGGAGGTGATGAAGTCAGTGATGATGGCTTTTTGGGAAGGCTTGAAGTTGCCATACCAAATGAGGTTAACTGAGATTTTGCCTGTGAGGAGAGGGCCTTTGTGGTATTGGAATTGCAATTGGGTGTCTGAGCCAGTGTGTCTCCTGGCTGAACTCAGCTGAAGAATGGAGATAGTGAGAAAAAGGGTGAAAAGAAGGCATGAAGATGTAAGGGATGCCATTTGTTTATGTTGTTTGAGAAACAAGAGTGAATTGTTGTCTGGTGAATTGGTGGAGAAGAAAGAAGTGTTGGTGGTATATATAGTGGGTTGGGGGATGAAGTCAAATTGTGGGGGATGGTGAGAAAGTGGAGTGGAGTTAAGTGGTGGAGGTGGCAGCTTGATAACGCGTTGTTGTTTTGGTATATAATTAAGCAAATTGTGCGGCAAGGTTTTGATTAATATTCTAGTGTAGCAGTAAAGTTACGCGGGGATATGGAATGGATAGCTAATGTCAGCGTAGGCAAGTATAAGTATAATAAACAGCTAATTAATCAAATTAATCAAATAAATCACTCTACCGATAAAGAACGACAATGTATCTCCATCCATAGAATTAAGAAAGAACTCTCAATTAAAAAAAAGAAAGTTAGAGAGAGAAGCTCTCAAGGCTGCTTCCAGTAGTCTTATTTCCCCTCTATTACATTAATTGATCTCTTGATTCCTTTCTTATCTTGTCATGTTTCTGAACTGGTTTATCCATATGAATTAGGTTTGTTTCATTTTCCTCTTCTCTTTTCTCTTGTCCCATCATGGGGAAGAAATCAAAGAAGGTTATGGAAGCCTTAGTTGCGGCAGCGAAACTTACGAAGAAAGACAAACCCTTCACAGATCCAACCTTACCTCAGTCCGGGGAAGCTCCGACTAGCATGGTTACTGCTTCGGAGAAAAATGCTTTGAATTCAACTGCAAAACCATATGTGATTTCTGAACTTGAAGGGGTTTCAAAAACCCTAAATGACGAAGCTACAGTACCTACTACAGGAAAACCCTTATTTTTTTAGTTCTTCAATAGCCATTCCTTCTGCTTTTTCTGCTACAGATTTGGAGCTATCTACTGGGAACTCTACTTCCGCGTCTTCCTACAAGATTGTTCCACTTACAGAAACAAGAAGAGTCCTTTTTGCAGAGGATAATGCTGCGGGTCCGCAGGCAAACCCTGTCGACGGAAAATCTGCGAAATTCGCAATGTCTCATGCTGCTGCAGAATCCTCAGGCAAAGATAGCAAAGTTGCAGAGGGGATTGCCTCTAAAGCTGCAGAAGTTAAGGGCAACCGTGTAGATCCGCAAGCGAATTTGTCTGCCCAAGGGTTTGCTGCTACAGATTTCCCGCCGTTGAAATCTCAAAGTATTTCCTGCGCAGTAAGTGATGAGGACACAATTAACTCCAAAGAAGATTCTGCCCAAAACACTTCAGTTCCGAAAAAAGAAGATAGGACTGCTAACAAAGCTCCATGGTCAAATATTTTTGCCAACAACAGGAAGCATGCAAATGGATTGAATCTTCAAACAAACATGCCACCTGGAAAAGGAGGAGCTATCATTAAAGAGGAAGATATCGTAACATAAAGTAAGTTCAAGTACTCTTTAGTGAGCTATTTCGCAGGGAAATTTCCAGGAATGAGTGCTTTCTTAGGACTCTGTAAGTCCTGGGGAGTGACATATAGATACTCTTTTCATAAGAGTGGCTGAATTATTTTTTCTTTTGATAGTGAAAACGATATGATTAATGTGCTACAAGCTGGTCCTTACATGGTGTATGGGAAGCCTTTACTATTGAAGAAAATGCCAGAATTTTTTGGCTTTGATGATAAGGAACTCATTGTATTTCCTGTTTGGGTGCAATTGGAGGGACTCCCTCTCAATCTCTGGTCAGCGAAAGCCCATGGCAAAATTTGCTCAGAGATTGGAAGACCTATCTACACAAATAAGCTCGCAGAAAATGCTGACCGTGTTAGCTTTGCTAGAGTGTTGGTGGACGTGGATATAGCTAACCCAATCAAATATGTTGTCCCCGTTTTCCTCCCAAATGGTGATACGCATATTCAGAAGATTGCCTATGAAAGGCTGCCAAAATTTTGCCAAACCTGTAGCAGAATTGGGCATAGCATGGAAACTTACCAATTCAACTAGCCGCCTACAAGTAAAAAGATTGAGCAAAGCAAAACAAAACAAGTATACATCGAGAAGAAATTGGTTGGCACGGGGGAACCTGCTGCTACTATCACTCCATCTACAGCCATCCCAGCTGCTACAGTTCAGGATACAACTACTATCATCCCAGTTGCTATAGTTCTTAGTACAACTGCTACCAACCACTGTGTCAATCCTACTAAATCTGCAGTTGGGAACTCAGCAGGTCCTACCACTCTTACTGAAGGCTCCCAGGAAACTTCAATATTGTCCAGACCTCCACTTGTCCAGGAAGTTAATGTGGGGAATGAAAAGCAAGGACAGACAGATGTTCCAAAAGAGGCAACTACGAATTCAACTACTATTGGTGAAAGCTCTGATGAGGGTTTCAAACTTGTATGCAAGAAGAAGAAAAACAATAGTAAACCGCTGCAGATTATGGAGAGGGGCTATTCCCCTCCTCATCCCAAATGAATATTGCTGCTTGGAACATCAGGGGCTTCCACAAGTCCCTGAAGCAAAACAGGGTGAGAACCCTTATTAGAAACAACCGTATTGATGTTTGTGGTTTGTTTGAAATTAAGATGAAGGTTCCCCCTATTAGCATCTTGAACTCCAAGTTTAAGTACTGGAGTTTTGTCACCAACCTGGACATGCATCCCTCTAGAAGAATTATGATTCTTTGGAATCATGCAACTGTGAGCTTGACTGTCCTAAGCTAAACTCCACAGGCGATTCACTGTGAGGTAACTTGCCTAGTCTCCCACATTCAGTTTAGACTCTCTTTCGTTTATGGCATGAACATTATACTGGCTAGAAGAGCTCTCTGGGAGGACCTGTTGCTGCAAAGTCAACAAGGGCCATGGCTGATAACAGGGGATTTCAACGTTGTGTTTGCCCCCAATGAGAGGTTCAAGGGCTCAAATGTCACAAATTATGAATTAAAGGAGCAACTTGACTGCTGCACGCAAATGGGGCTCTTTGACTTGAATTCTGTCAGCTCTTTCTATACTTGGACAAATAATCTCACATGGTCAAGGATTGACAGATCCTTGATAAACCGAGATTGGGGCTTGCTGAACCAGAGCACTTATGCAAAACACTTGCCAATTGGTTGGTTGTCTGATCATGCCCCATGCATCATAAGAATAAATGGGTTGGTTCCCATAGCTAAAAGTCCCATGAAGTTTCAGAATATGTGGACCACTCATGAGGCTTTTGATAGTATTGTCAACAACTCTTGGTACGAGTTTGTTCCAGCTGGCTTTAAAATGTACCAACTTTGCACTAAGCTGAAGAGGCTAAAACCTAAGTTACGTGAGTTAAATGCCCATCATTTTTCTCACATCTCTAGAAGGGTTGATGAAGCTAATACAACTCTCATCTCCTTGAAGAATCAACTGCTGCAGAACCCAGAAGATCAATCCCTCCATAATGCAGTGCGTACTCAACAAAGAAAAGCCATGAATCTTCTTGAAGTTGAGAGACTCTATCTCACTCAAAAGGCAAAGAGTGACTTTGTTAATCTAAGTGATAGGGCCAACTCCTTCTTCTATGCAATCATTAAAAGGAATCAAGCAAAGAATCGCATTAATGCGGTGAGAATGCCTGATGGCAATATGACCAACTCTCCTGATCAAGTAGCTGCCAAGTTTCTCTCCTTTTATATGAACCTGTTAGGGTCTGAGTCTCAAGTGCAGGATATCTCCCTCACCACCAGCAAGGAGACTCTCTCTTGGCTGCTATCACAACAGATGAAGTTAAGAATGCAATGTTTAGCATCCCGGATCACAAGGCGCCTGGGCCTGATGGCTACTCGTCCAAGTTCTTCAAGTCCTCCTGGGATACTGTTGGGACAGAAGTTACTGAAGTTGTCCAAGAATTCTACAGTAGTGGCAGGCTCCTGAAATAGGTGAATCACTCCCTTCTTGTCATGGTCCCCAAATCAAATCATGCTTCAGAGGTTACCGATTTTAGGCCCATTGCTTGCTGCAATGTGATCTATAAAGTTATTTCTAAGATCCTAGCTAGCAGGCTCTCCAAAGTTCTCCCTAATTTGATCGATCCAGCCCAAGCTGCTTTCGTCCCTGGAAGGAGCATGAATGAGAACATCTTTTTGCTACAAGAGCTGATCAAGGGTTATGCTAGAAAGAGAGTCTCTCCAAGATGGCTGCTAAAGGTGGAACTCAGAAAGGCCTTTGATACCATAAACTGGTCTTTCCTACTCAAGCTTCTAAGTGGGCTAAATTTCCCTTGGCAATTTGTGAAGCTCATAAAGGAGTGTGTCACAACTACCTCCTACTCCATCTCTTTAAATGGCACATTGCATGGTTATTTCAAAGGTAAGAGGGGGCTCAGGCAAGGAGATCCCCTCTCCCCACTACTCTTCGTTATCTCCATGGAATATCTGTCACGACTGATGAAGACTTTATGGAGGGATAAGGATTATCACCCACACCCCAAGTGTATTGCTGTCAAGTTAAATCATCTCATCTTTGCAGATGATCTTATCTTATGCTCAAGAGGGGACTTTTTATCTGTTGAGAAGACTCTTAAGTGCTTTCACAACTTCAACAGATGTTCTGGGTTGTATGCAAATAATGAGAAATCACAACTCTACATGGTAGGCGTGACAGCAGATGTGTCTCTTGAAATCAGGGACATAACTCAGTTTGATGATGGTACTTTTCCTTTAGGTATCTTGGGATACCTTTGACAGCAACGGGGCTAAAAGTGTCACACTTCTCACCTCTAGTTGAGAGGATTACTAAAGTTATCAAAAGCTGGAGCTGCAATAACTTATCTTATGCAGGGAGGCTCCAACTACTGACTTCAGTTGTTCAAGGCACCCTATGTTTTTGGATGAGAATTGTAAACATCCTTGCCTCTATTCTCCACAAGATTATTGGTTGAAGCAGGAATTTCCTTTGGGGTGGTTCTAAGAAGCCTTTAGTGGCCTGGACGTCTACCTGTATTCCAAAGAGTGAGGGTGGATTGGGCCTTTTTAACTGGAGCTGCTGGAACAAGAGTCTTTTATCTAACATTATTTG